ATGATGAATTACGAGCAGTTTGATGAACAGATTGATGGAGAGGCTAAAGAGGATGGGCAGATTCTTATTCCATGCCCTAATTTAAACTTCTTTTTCTTTGCATCTTGAAACAGACAACAACATTAGCATTAAATGTGCATTGGGCATACATTGCTAATTGAGGGTAACTAGACTTGCAGTTACAAATATAGCTCTAAATAACGTTGCCACCCCCTTTTAAAATAGCTGGCAGTTGTATAAGCAAGTATCATGACACTCTGCATCTGACAGCTCATTCTCTGAGTTCTCCAATATCGACTTTGCTACCATGATGGCTTTCTCTGACTCCACAAAAGGAGACCACAATGGGACTCCAGCAATAAAGCTGCAAGATGAAAGAGTAAATGTTTTTTTGCAGTGTGTGTGTGTGTGTGTGTGTGTGTGTGTGTGTTGATGTAGTTCTTATGTAACAGACCCCAGCCCATTGAGGTGGGTGAGGGAACAGATAGTGTCCTCCAAGGCCTTTCAAGGTGATCTCAGCACACAGGGTTGAGGAAGATAGAGGGCGAAGATCTGGGAATCTCCCTGCATTGCTTTCTCTTTCCTGTTTATTTTTCCTCCGTCCCTTCTCTCTTTGCTGCCTCTCTCCGGCTTTTTTCATGACAGTCTCTCTGTGTGTGGCTCCAGAGAAAGTGCTCCGGGTTCATGATGTGATGAAGTAATGAGAGGAGACGTGGTGATTCAGCAGTTTCAGCCCAAAGGCCACATCTGCTCTCTTTCCTTTGGTCTCTATATCTGTCTACATCTCTCCTGCTCCCTCTTTTTGCTCTCCCTTTCTTTATTTCTCTATTTATCTGTTGAGGATGTACTCTGCAGTTTCTGCCTAAGTAACGGCGAGTGTATTTACCTTGTATATTGCGTAAATGCCCATCAGAGGGAATTATTGTGGACTGTTGACTTTTCGATATAACTCATAGTGGACGGTTTTGTTGGTTTGACTGCAGGTTGATGCACATTTCTCTGACGAGGATGATGGTGAATGTCACCCAGCTGCCCTGCAGTGAAAGTTAAACAGCTTTAACTGGCTGCTATTTAAAAAGCATACTGATTAGCCAACATTGTGCCAACATTTGAAGCTGCTTCAAAGAAGTGATGGTGGTATG